ATAAACATTTATATATATATATATATATATATATATATATATATATATATTTATGTTGTGTATAGTGTTCGACGAGGCTTTTGCTTTATCTCTAAAGATGCGAATACGTTACGGCATTGACTTGGATTCATTTTCTCCGTTTGAGCCGACAGAGGGTGAGGGGAGCCGAAAAGAAATAGAGGGTTTAGGTGGTTTAGGGGTGTTGCCGGGTATCGAACCCGGGACCTCTCATGGTATTGGGTCTCCACTTGATCTCTTAGATAACGAAAAAGATTCAGAAGAGTTACCCGGGTTCGAATCCACGCACAGCAGAGCATCGAGAAGTATTATACTTACAAGGCCTTTCAGGCTGCAGCATCACCAGCAGCAGCAGCAGCAGCAGCAGCAGCAGCAAAATAAAAAACCACAAAGACAAGTATCAGCTATGGATAAATTATTTCCCTCCTTCTCAGAATATGATGATACTAATAAAAGTACTAATGCTGCCAATAAAAAACACCTGCAGCATCAGCAGCAGCAGCAGCAACAGCAGCAGCAGCAGCAGCAACACAGCAGGTTGTGGGGGTTCCGCAGCAGATCGAGGCTCTCTGTACATGATGAAGCCTCAGTTGACTCTGTTGCTGCTGCTGCTTGGGGGGCCTCAAAGGACGTGATGCCGCGGCTGCAGCCCCAGCAGCAGCAGCAGCAGCAGCAGCAGCAGCGGTTGCCGCAGCAGCAGCAGCAGTCAGAAGCGCCTGAAACTGATGCTGCTGCTGCAGGCAGCAGCAGCGGTGATGCACAGCAACAGCCGGACGAACAACAGCAGCAGCAACAGGAACCACAGCAGCAGCAACAGCAAGAAGAGGGGGAGCAGCAGCAGCAGCAGCAGCAAGAGCAAGAGCAAGGAGCGCAGCAGGAACCCATGCAGCAGCAGCAGCAGCATGAGACTGAACAGCAACAGCAGCAGCAAGATGAACCCCCTCTTCAGCAGCAGGAAGGCCAGGAACAGCAACAAGAACAGCTGCAGCAGCAGGAAGAGCAGCAGCAGCAAGACACGCAACAGCAGGGAGAGCAGCAGCAGCTTGGGGGCGAGACAGGAAGCAGCAGTGAAACAGCAGAAGGCAACGCAGCCCCTGCAGCTGAGAACCCTACAACCGATGCAGCAGCAGCAGCAGCAGCAGGAGCAGCAGGAGCAGGAGCAGCAGCAGCAGATGCAGACGCAGGAGCGCAAGCTGACGGAGGAGCAGCAACAGGCGGAGGCGCAGCAGCAGCAGACACAGCAGCAACAGAAGCAGCAGCAGCGGAGACTGGAGCAGCAGCAGAAACAGGAGCAGCAGCAGCAGCAGCAGCAGCAGAGGCGGCAGTAGACACAGGAGCAGTAGCAGCAGCAACAGCAGACACAGGAGCAGCAGCAGCAACAGGAGCAGACGCTGCAGCAGCAGCAACAGCAGCAGCAGCAGACACAGCAGCAGCAGACACAGCAGCAGCAGCAGCAGCAGCTTTGCCGATAGAAGATTCGATGACCCAGGCCACTGCTGAAGCTGCTGCTGACCTGCAGTCTCTGGTGGAGAGGGTGCCAGTAGCAGCAGCAGCACCAGCAGCAGCACCAGCACCAGCAGCAGCAGACGCAGCAGCGCCAGCAGCACCAGCAGCAGCAGCAGCAGACGCAGCAGCACCAGCAGCACCAGCACCAGCGGCAGCAGCGCCAGCAGCAACAGCAGCAGAAGCAGCAGCGCCAGCAGCAACAGCAGCAGCAGCACAGGATATGGGAAACCCGACGAGCCAGGCGGAGACAGCAGCAAAGACAGATGAACAGCAGCAAGGAGGCAACGCCACCGAGCAGCAGCAGCAGCAGCAACAACAGCAACAGCAGCAGCAAGAACAGCAGCCAATGCAGCAGCAACAACAACAGCAACCGCAGCAGGAACAGCAGCAACAACAACAACAACCGCAGCAAGAACAGCAGCAACAGCAGCAGCAACTGCAGCAAGAACAGCAGCAACAACCACAGCAACAGCCGCAGCAGCAGCAGCAACAACAACAGCAACAGCAGCAACAACCACAGCAACAGCAGCAGCCGCAGCTACAACAACAGCAACAGCAGCAAGAACAGCAGCAACAACAGCAGCAACAGCAGCAACAACAACAGCAACAGCAGCAAGAACAGCAGCAGCAGCAGCAGCAACAACAACAACAGCAGCAAGAGCAACAACAGCAGGCGCCGCAGCAACAGCAGCAGCAGCAACAGGATCAGCAGCAACAACAACAACAGCAGGCGCCGCAGCAACAGCAGCAGCAGCTACAGGATCAGCAGCAGCAGCAACAACAGCAGCAACAGCAGCAGCAGGAACAGCAGCAACAGCAACAGCAGCAGCAGCAGCAGCAATAGCAGCAGCAGCAGGAATAGTAACAAGAAGCGCATCCGTCTCAACAGGACGAGAAACGAACCAAACAGCAACAGCAACAGCAGCAGCAGCAGCAGCAGCAGCAGCAACTGCCACAGCTGCAGGAACCGCAGCAAGCAGCAAATGAGCAGCAGCAACAGCAACAGCAGCAGCAGCAGCAACAGCAGCAGCCCTGCAGAATGCTGCTGCTATGGGATAGAAGACAGCAGCAGCGAGCTGCAGTCCTAGCCTGGAAAGGCACAAGCAGCAGCAGCAACACGCGAACAGCAGCAGCAGCAGCAACAGCTGCAGCAGCAACAGCAACAGCAGCAGCAGCAACAGCAACAGCAGCAGCAGCAACAGCAGCAACAGCAGCAGCAGCAGATCAAGTTGCTGCTAGCAAGTGGTGTTTTCTTTGCTTAAACACAGTCTCTGTGTGCACCTCGATGCATCTGTCTCTCTTTATAGTTTTTATTTTGTCTCCTTTATTTTGTCTCCTTTTTTCTGTCTCTTTTTTTCTGTCTCTTTTCTTTTGTCTCCTTTCTTTTGTCTCTTTTTTTCTGTCTCTGTTTCTCTTTCCCTTTACTGTTGCTGCTGCTGTCCCTCCAACCCCCTCCCCTTCTCTCTGTCTTTGTCTCTGTTACTCTAGCCGCGCTGCACCCCACCCTGGCTAGCTACAGCTAGCTGTATACTAGCTACAGCTAGCTGTATACTAGCTACAGCTAGCTACGGCTAGCTACATCCAACTGCTGGTAGCTACAGCTAGCTACGGCTAGCTACACCTAGCTACTGCTACCCGCAGCTAGCTACGGCTAGCAACAGCTAGCTTTCAGCTAGCCCCAGCTAGCTCCCGGCTAGTTACAGCTAGCTACTGCTAGCTAGAGCCAACTCCTGCTAGCCACACTGGCTGCAGCTAGCTACACCCCACTCTTACTAGCCTTTGGCTAGCTACAGCTAGCTACAGCTAGCTACAGCTAGCTACAGCTAGCTATAGCCAACCCCAGCTGGCTTTCAGCCCGCCCTTAATTTGTTTGCCTCACCACGCTGGCCTCTAGGAACCTAGATAGCTACAGCTAGCTAGCTAACTGGGACTAGCTAGCTAGCTATCTAACTGGAACTAGCTAGCTAGCTAACTGGAATTAGCTAGCTAGCTAACTGGAATTAGCTAGCTAGCTAACTGGAACTAGCTAGCTAGCTAACTGGAGCTACCTAGACAGCTAACTGGAGCTAGCTAGCTAGCTAACTGGAACTAGCTAGCTAGCTAGCTAGCTAGCTATACCCGGAGGCAAATTTGTTGCAGAGAAGTCCGTTTGGAGGGTTGGCGTTTGTCTGTGGAGACGGGTCACCAGCTAGCTAGCTGACGGCCGTCCGCCCGCTAGCTAGTGCAGCTAGCTAGCTGGCAGCGGCAGCTAGCTAGCTAGCTAGCTAGCTAGCTAGCTAGCTAGTTGTCCGAGCTAGCTAGCTAGACCCGCTAAGCAGCTAGCCTTTGTAGCTAGCTATATCGGCTAGCTAGCTAGCGGAGGTATGTAGGCAGCTTGTATTATATACATATACATACATACATATACATACATACACATACATACATACATAAATCTATATATACATGTATATATATATATATATATATAATATATATATAATATATATATATATATA